AATTAACTGAGATATAAAATTAAACCACTTTTATCTAATTTGCATATGCTGACCCAGGCCTTAACTCACTTGAGTGGTTCAAGTGTGCTACTGTAAGAGGAAAACAAAACAATGACTTTGTAATTACTTTACTGTATTACAAGAAGAAGTTAAATTACTTATTTGTGTTTTAATGTGTTCCATTTCATTTGTTCAACTTCAAGTTTCTTCTCTTCTAAAGCCATCCTTCTTTCTTCCAGCTCCAACTTCTTTTCCTTTAATTTGAAGTTGTCTTGATGTTTCTGGGCAAGATATTCTAACATCTGACCCTTTCCACATCTTGTTGGTTTAAACTTGCCTTGCCCTAAAAAGGTTTCAGTAAACAAAATACAATATATGTGTACTCATAGCTCACAATAGCTCATTGAATTTTCAGTTTCTTTGTTGTTGTTTTCTTTATAACAATTTACTAGTATACAGTACCTTTTTGTGGTTTCTTTTTGGTATTCCTCCTTGGAGTTGATAAAGTGGAATCATCATCAGAAGACTCGTCATCATCCTCATCATCATTATCATCACTAGAATCGTTATCATAATTTTGTCTTTCTTCATTAGCAAAAAAGAAAAAAAGGAAATAATCAAAATCAAATATAGGAAATTGCTCAACATCTGGGGCCAGTTGTATGGATGGTGATATATATAGTACTATCCACTGTTCTGTAAATGGTAATTAAAATTGTTTGGGCTGTGGCAGCATAGTTACTAATTATGGTATATATCAGTTTCTTACTGGTATAAGTCTCCATTGCTTCCTTTCTCATCTTTAAACCCTTTTGATGGTCTTCCTCAGTCTTTTTTCTTTTGCTGGTACTTGCTGAAGAGTCAGCCTGATCTTCTAAATAACTTGAAATATCTTCCAAGAGCACATTTAATTCACTTACTTCTTCTTCTGTCCCAGACCTTGTTAATTATAGAAAATAATATTATTAGTGGGGATTATTCTTATATGACTTCAGCTCATTAAAGCTCCAAAACCTTGAAATAGATTTGTAAATCCTGCTTAATAGAAATGCAAATGCCGAAAAGTGTGCAGAGTTAAAACTGACTAAGTGGAAAATTTTATTTATATAACATTATTGTTTTTTGTTTTAGCTTGTTTTGTAGTAATAAAGTCTTAGTTTTTCAAAGTGCAATTCACTTTCTTAAAGCTTTAATTAATACAAGCTTCAGCAATATTATATCACTTGCCTTTTTAGAGCTTTTTGGTCATTTGCTTTGTATTTTTTAACGAGTAAAAGAAGATGCTCGCGACAAGAGCGCCCTGTCATTTGTATTCTGTTTTCTTCATTAGAAAACAACAGGCACAAAGTTTGAGCTAGTGCTGTCCAGTCGTCTGGTTTCGCTGGTTTTCTCTCTATAAATTCACAACACAGCATTCTATCGTGTTCGGGCTTTGGCCAACGAAAAGGTGCCATTCTCTGTCAACATAAAATCATTTCAATCTTATAAGATAAGTTTATAAGAACTTCCTATTTAAATACGCTCGATTAAATTGCCATAGTTTTGAGAAAGAGAAAGACCCTTCGCAAAAACTCCTAAAATTGCGTTTTTGCATTGGTTTTAACATGAATTACCAAGATAAGTTCAACTTTGTGCACAAAATATCAAAATGAGTAAGAGACATGGAGGTTCCATGACAGAAAAAGATAAAAAAAATAGCTTGAAGTACTCACGTTTATAATTGCCGCCAAAACTTGACCTTTCGCGTTGAAACGGGAACCGACGAACGGCAAACGCGCCAAATTGTAGGTCACGTGATATTTATTGACGTTTGCCGTAGAAGAAAACGCGGATCTTAAGCTCTCTATTCTCCGACGATACCGTGGCGTTATTAAACAAATGGCGGTATGTTAGATTATATGTGCAAGCGGTTTTTGGTGCTCAAATTATATCAATTCTTCTACTTCAAGAACCTTTGGCAGTTTTAATCTGGTTTAAATTTGCTTTTGAATTTGAAAATCTTCACCTGATACACTTCAAAACTTCTCAGTTAAATGAGCTTTTTGACAATGAAAATATGTGTGAATTGTGTACACGTACATTCTATCCACAATAATAATCTTCTTTGACATAAAACTACTCGGATGTTTTAATTTATAAAACTATGCATTTTGAAAAGAGAGCCTTGATATTATTTGAATGTTCAGATTTTTACTCYTTATTCGACTTGTCGTACAAAGTGCAGGCCATCTCTGTCGTACAGGTCACCACYAAGGTTTTGTGCTTTTCCAACATTTTCACGAGGTATTTGACCGTGAAAGTTTTCCCTGTACCGGCTCTGCCACTTRGAAAAACATTGTGTCCAGACATAGCCAGGTCTATGGCTTTCCTTTGCTCAAAGTTTGGAGTAATTTCGCTCATGTTTTGTTTTGTTTTGTAAACTATACACAAAGGACGTCAAGAAATGTGATGTAAAAGCTACATACTTCGGGAATTACGAAAATACTCCGTGAAAGTCTCGATGGTTCACGATAGTTCTCGACAATCTCACGAGTTGGAAGTCCGCTCGGTTTCCGATGATGACGCAATAGTTTCAGATCTTATGCCCAGCTGCCTGGTGCACACATCGATCCATCACGTGACCAGTGTTTCATACCTTGTCACAGACTAGTTTGTATCCCGCGAGGCGCGCGATCGTGACGTAATACCACAGGTAACCTGTTTGGGACAAATTATAGGCCATCTTTCAACCAGTTTTATTACAGCGCTAGTTCAGCGAGCAAGTACAATCAATTACAGGTTCGGCAATCAAGTAGTCTGATCAATTACAGGTAAAACTAAAATACAAATTACAAACGGTGGTTACGGGCACAATAAACATGAACGAAGCGAATTACAAGTTGCAAATAAAATATTAAACACTAAAATATATTATGAATTACAAAGAACAACGATTACACTTACGATGTGGCCCATACTGGGTGCGAAAGACATGTGAAAAGCGGCAAAACTCTGGAACAAAAATAAACTAGCGAATTGTGATTCTCACCACGAGGGAACCCTGATCACGTCGACATGCTGCCACAGGGATCCCGAACATACCGGCCGCCTTGGGCCTACGCCGGTAGGACCCAACCTAACTTAACTAACTTATTTAAATGTCAACAATATGATAACAGCGGTAGAGATATATCAATCTTTCATGTGACAGTCACTCTAGGTTGTTTTCCAACAAACAAAGTTTTTGTATGGGACGGACAAACTCGCCCGACTTGGTCTTCACTTTCACCGTCCGGACCAGTCCGTCACTTGCTGTGTAGCATTCAATCACTCTGGCAAGGTTCCAACGACCCCTTGGAAGGTTGTCATCGACTAGAAGTACAAGATCGTTTGGTTTCAAGTTTGGCTTCGCAGATAGCCATTTTCGAGTCACTTGCAGTAATGGCAAATACTCTTTGATCCAACGGGACCAGAACAAATCAGCGAGGAACTGGGCTTGACGCCACTTTCTTCTCAGTATACCATCTGCTTCACAGAAGACACCAGGAGGCAAGGATATAATCTTCCTCTGTAGGAGGAAGTGGGCTGGTGTAAGTGCGTCCAGATCATCTGGGTCGTCTGAATTGTTAGTTAAGGCTCTACCGTTCAGGATACGTTCCACTTCCGTTAGCACTGTATACAAGACATCATCGCTTACGGTGTATGTGCCAAGAATGGACTTTAGTACGGTTTTTGCACTCCTAACCAACCTTTCCCAAACTCCGGACATGCTTGATGCAGTGGGTGGTTGGAATATCCACTTGCATCCCCTTTGAATCAGTTCTTTCTCGATTTTTCCGTGATTCCACTGCTTCAAGCTTTCCTTTAATTCACGATCACCTCCTACGAAGTTGGTACCGTTGTCACAGCGCAACTCTAACACGTCTCCTCGGCGGTTCAGGAACCTTCTTAGACAAAGTAAGAAGTCATCGGCACTCAGAGAATTGACAATCTCCAGATGAACAGCGCGCGTGGTAAGGCAGGTAAAGAGACAGCACCAACGTTTAGCTGTTCCTCGGCCATGTTTGACATACAATGGACCGAACAAATCCATACCAGTGTGAGTAAAGGGTGGTTCATAGACTGACGTCCGAGAAGTTGGTAATGGTGCCATCTTCTGTGTGAGTGGTTTAGAATTTAACCTTTTGCAGGTGAGGCATCTTCGCAGTATAGATCTGGTCAACACTCTTGCTTGAGGGATCCAGAACTTCTCTCTGAGTTTCGACAAGACATGTTCTCGCCCCAAATGGCCACAGGACTTGTGGATATGTGTTATCAGCAGGGCAGCAACATGATGGCCTTTGGGAATGAGAAGAGGCTGAGCAGTGACTCGTAGGGTTGGTCCTGATGTGACTCGTCCACCTACTCTCAGCAACTGTTGGTTGTCGAGTACTGGATTTAGCGTAGCAATATTGCTAGTCTGATTTACACCTTTAGCAGAGTGTAGAGCTTTGATCTCATCTTTGTAACACGTTCGTTGTGCGATCTTGACAACTTGTAGCTCAGCATTTTCAATCTCGTCGAGTGTCAGATTACCTCTTGGGACGTCTTTGCGGTTACGGATGTATTGAACGAATCTTGAGAGCCATGCAAATCGACGGAGTAGTGTGGTCCAGTCCGAGCAGCTTTCGATGAGTAATTGCAATTCTGACATCTGTGGAGGGCTGTTTTCTTTGGGTTTGACGGCAGCAATGTTCACGTGCTTTATCTTCTTGAGTTCGAGGACCTCTTCGGCTGGAGCATTGATGTCTTCATCAGGCCACATGGATTCATCGCGCCACAAGAAGTCAGGGCCGCGTAGCCAGCGGCCATCTGAAGACAGCTGCGAGGGTCCATATCCTCGTGAAACGTCATCAGCTGGGTTTAGAGCGCCGGAAACGTGTCTCCATTCATCGACACTCGAGTTTTCACTAATTTCTTGTACTCGGTTGGCCACGAATGTCTGCAGTCGAAGCTTAGGATTTCTGAGATAATGCAAAACTATTGCACTGTCCGTCCAATAACGTGCCTTCTCGATGTGTAAGTCAAGTTCAGACCTAATGGTGTTGTTCACGCGTGTTGCTAAAACGGCCGCTTGTAGCTCGAGCCGTGGGACAGAGGTAAACTTGACGGGAGCATTACGTGACTTTCCCATGAGGAACGAACACTGGACATAGCCATCTGGGTTCTTCACCCTCAGATAGGATACAGTCCCATACCCATGTTCCGAGGCATCAGCAAAATGATGTATCTGAAGTTTACAATCAGACAGGATGATTCCAAGCGAGAAGTAACAACGGGGAATGCGCACATCAGCCATGATCTGAAGGGCATCTTTCCATTCTCGCCATCTGTTAAGGAATTCATCAGCTAACGGGTCATCCCAGCCAACCTTCGCTCTCCAGAGATCCTGAAGGAGGTTCTTAGCTTGGAGGACTACCGGACCTGCAATACCAAGTGGGTCATACAACGAGCACACTGTCGACAGGATCCCGCGTTTAGTTTCTGGACGATCCAGATCTTTGATTGTGAATCCGAGCTCATCTGATTCCGGGTACCATCGAACACCGAGGGCTCTCTCCACGGGTAGTTCGTCCAAATCAAGATCTAGTTCAGGTTTTGCTCTCTTTGGCGTAGGAATGGAGGCAAGGACATCTTTACAGTTTGAAGTGAACTTAGTGAGATTGAACCCCCCTCTGTTAAGAAGGTCAGTCATTTGGTTCGCAAGAGTAATTGCTGATGCGGTGTCACTACAGGATGGCAGTCCATCGTCCACGTAGAAGTTCTGTTTAACAGCCGCGACCGTCTCTTCTGAGAAGTTATCGGCATTGTCGTCAGCAGCTCTCCTGAGGGTTGAGTTTACCACGCACGGCGATGAAGTGGCTCCGAAGATGTGTACTTGCATTACGTATACGTCAGGAGGTTCATCATAACCACGAGTCCACCAAAGGAAGCGCAGAGCTTGCTGGTCGTGGTTTGGGACACGGACTTGGTGGAACATAGACTCTACATCGGCGGCTAAAGCCACGTTGCCCTTTCTGAACCGCAGAAGAACACCGATGAGGCTGTTTGTGGAATCTGGACCCTGCAGTAATGCTTTGTTAAGCGACGCACCTTCGTACTCGGCAGCTGCGTCAAAGACGATGCGAACTTTTCCCGGCTTGTTTGGGTTGGTAACTGGGTGATGGGGCAAATACCAACGTACTTGACCCTCTGTTTTTACTTCATCTTCAGTTAGCTTCCTGGCATAACCTTTGTCGATGTATCCCTGCATAGTGTCACGATACTTCAGTGCAAGATCTGCATTTTCAGGCTTCAGTAGCCTACGTTTCAGCATCTCGAGTCTCTTTTCTGCCATGCGTCGGTTGTCTGGAAGGTTGGGCTCAGCGTCCTTCCAAGGAAGGCCTACCTCATAATGTCCATCGACAAATCTTGTGGTTTCGCTGATTATCCGAAGAGCCCGTTTGTCGTCGACAGACAGTTCCTTCTTAGCACCAGATATTACATTATCTTCTAACTTCCAGAATTTTTCAAGAGCTTCATCAAGTTGACAGTCCATTGATATGGAATTTACAGATACAGTGTCCTTAGAAATTGCGTCGATCGGACCACACAAGGTCCATCCAAGTGAATAGTGATATCCATAGAGGCCATTGTCACCATCATCAGGAATCCTCACTTCTCGCTGCACGTGTGCACTAGGAATATTACTGCCAATCAATACTGATATGCGGGGAAGATCAACAGAAGAAAACTTGATGTCTTGCAGGTGGGTGTAGGTAGAGGTGTCAACAGATTCGGGTAGAACCTGTCCATACTGACGTAGATCCGCGAGGACGTATGCATCGTTGACCTTTACTTTCTCATCACTGTTAATAGCTTTAATGGTAAAGTTTACACGTTTAGATTCGGCTTCTTGGGTGGAGGTAATTGTAACGATTTCAATTTCCTCAGTTCTTCCGGTTAGGCCAAGTTCATCAGCTAACTGCCGATCTATCAGCGTGTCTGTACAGCCATTGTCGAGAAAGGCGTAAGTAGACAAGCTCCTGTTATCACTCGAGGTAACAACAACAGGGAGGACGTTTAGTACAACAGACGAGTTAGAGTTTTGAACCGCCGCGGATTTTACTCCCTTTGGCTGAGGTTTTAGGTCCGGCTTCTTTGCATCCTGAGGCTGTCCTGGTTTCTTGTCACCACGGGCCGGAGCCTTATCGTTGCTGTGTGATGGAGGGTTCAGACGACCGGGAAGCCTGTCTTTATGAAGTATGTCCAAGTGGCGACCATTGCAACGCGTGCAGGACGGCGTATCTGGGCAGGTCCCAGAACCATGTCCTGGGCGTTGTTTCCCACAGTTGAAACAGAATTGATAGGCAGCGGCATAATGACGACGTACATCTACGTGATCACATTGCTTAATGATTGGACAAACTTTCAGGTTGTGAGGAGAGTCTTTGCATATTTCGCATCGGTCTTTGGGTGCGCTTGAAGCCTCCTTTATGTCTTTCTGGACGCTTGCTGTGGCGACGGTCGATACTCTAGGTGCGGGATGGCGAGTGTGCGCCATTGTCCTTGTATTGCCTTTAGTATCCTTGTTTTCTCTTTTCGGTAAACCGTAAACTGGGTCATTTCTAATCGTTGCATGCTTTCTGACAAAGTCAGAAATGTCCTTTAGGCGTGCGAACGATCCGCGACAAAGTATTTCGTAGTTCACACTTTGCCACTTTGACACGAGGTCGTTCGGGAGCCGATTGACGATTCTGCGTAGGTTAGTGGCAACGCTTATTTCCTTCTCGTCGGCGCCCGTCAGAATCTTGGTGGCTGTAGTTAGTGTTTCAGCAAAGTTCAACAGTCCTACATTATCCCCATAGTTTAATTTTGGGCCAGATATAAGTTCTTCTATACAGGCCTGTGAGACCTGTATAGGTTGACCATAGCGAGTTTCGAGGATATTGACTAAGTCCTGGTATGAACAGCCACGATTTCTTTTAACAACTTCTAATGCCTCGCCGCAAAGGAACTTTGGTAAATACTCAACGCGCTGGGCGTCAGATAGATGCTCTGTTTCTAAGTGTTCTCTCAACTGCTTACGCAGGAAAGGAAAATCGGCTGGTTTACCGCTGAATTGGGTTGGCTTTATGCCGTTAAGGAGTTGTATCTTTAACATCGTTGCAATGTGATCCATTGGCTTATACCGTTCTATGGTAGCTTGATAAGCGTTACAAGCTGTAGTAGACAGATATGAGGGATCTTGTTTATTATCTATGACAGATGCACGTGGTGCTGCAGAAGTTTGTTGACCATCGTAGACGGGTACATGTGGCGCAGCAGGAGTTTGTTGACCATCGTAGACGGGTACATGTGGCGCTGCAGGAGTTTGTTGACCATCGTAGACGGGTACATGCGGGGCTGCAGGAGTTTGTTGACCATCGTAGACGGGTACATGCGGCGTCGCAGGAGTTTGTTGACCATCGTAGACGGGTACATGTTGCGCTGCAGGAGTTTGTTGACCATCGTAGACGGGTACATGCGGCGCTGCAGGAGTTTGTTGACCATCTGAGAATGGTGCACGCTTTCCCGCCAAATTCCTTTCGTCAACGTATCCTTGTCTCCAGTTGACCGGAGACTGAAGATTGAAGACAGGACTAGGCGGGTGGCCGTTGTCAGGTGGTACGACGTTTGGCTTCAATGTTGACATAGCGGGAGGAGTAGTCTGATAAGGTTTAAAGGCGCCTATGTTGGGTGTGCTGTGTTTAATATTACCATGATCATCATAGGCCTTTGTTTGAATCTCCTCGTTAGGTACGCATTCAGTCTCCACTTGCCATTCTACTTCAGCTAGCGCGGCTTCCTCTTCAAGTTTTCGTATCTCCTTTCTTGCAGTCATCTCATGTAAGATCCTTGCGTTTTCTATTTCTTCGCGTTGTCTTGATTTGGCTAGTTCAAGTTTCCTTTTGGCTAAAAGCATGGTTCTTAGTTTTTGCCTTTGGCTCGAAGCAGGCAAGTTATTGCAGTCGCTTCTAACAGAGGCTATTTCGAATACATCATCCGTTGCAGCTTGTTCGTTTACTTGTAGTTGTCTTTTAAACTCATCAAACACATTGCTAGCTAGTTCCTTGATCAACATATACTTAGTTTGAACAGTTTCAAGACGTCCCTTTTCCTTAATACCAGTGAGATACTCATTGTAAATCTCTTCAAAGTGTTTCCAGTCATTTACGATCCTATCTGCAGCTTCTTGAGCAGATTTAGGATCCCATGCAGTATAAATATTAGTCCTTAGAGAGGTTATTTCAGACTGTAAATTATTACACATTCTTGACCAGGTAGCCGCTAGTTGGTGTTGTTTGCTTACAGCTCTTTGATGTAGTAGTTCATTGAAATCAATGTTTGGGTTAGCTGGAATATGGGTTCTGAGGTTGTAGCCATGAGCATTTTCCACAATAGTTGGTTGAGCATTCAACAAATCCCCAGTGGGAGGTACATTTTGTTGTGGGATATCATCGCTTACTTGTCCAAACAACAAGTCATCTACAGTAGCAACTGTCTCCTTTGTAGCTCCAGATTGTGCGAAAAGATTTATTCCTCGGTCCATAGTCCCTCGTTCCAATCCAAAATTTCCGCTTGATCCACTCATTCCAAATACAAATTTCTTGGGTATCTTTTACAATGTTTGGGACAAATTATAGGCCATCTTTCAACCAGTTTTATTACAGCGCTAGTTCAGCGAGCAAGTACAATCAATTACAGGTTCGGCAATCAAGTAGTCTGATCAATTACAGGTAAAACTAAAATACAAATTACAAACGGTGGTTACGGGCACAATAAACATGAACGAAGCGAATTACAAGTTGCAAATAAAAACTTAAACACTAAAATACATTATGAATTACAAAGAACAACGATTACACTTACGATGTGGCCCATACTGGGTGCGAAAGACATGTGAAAAGCGGCAAAACTCTGGAACAAARATAAACTAGCGAATTGTGATTCTCACCACGAGGGAACCCTGATCACGTSGACATGCTGCCACAGGGATCCCGAACATAACCCACAGCGCACGCCGATTCGATAACATAATATAAAAGCGTGCGCATTCATTCTTTTCTTTCTCTCAAGCTATAGTTGGGTAGCCTATGGTATATGTGCATTCTATGGCAAGGACTCAAAAACTGAAAAATAAGTGGCTTGAGTTCATGGCTAATATTTGGTTTCTTACCGTCTAATAAGACAAACAGCAAAAGCAAAAGTACTGGTGCACTCTTCATGTTCGTGAACTAAAAAGAAAAAAAAGTAAAGAAAACTTTATTGGGAATCATATTAAGCCACTTAGTCTTTTACCTTAAGAGTGTTGCTCGTCCTTAAACTYTCAAAACTTTAGTTATTTCTTTACAAACATTAGTCAAGTGGATTAAGTAAGCTTTAACAAGCTTGTACAAATGTTAACTTTAAAATACTGGTGATTGTTCTTCTACCCATTGATAATGTGATGTGCAGACAGATGGGTTAGGGCACAACTTGATCACTTGGGAATCTCAGCCGATCCAACATAATGAATGGGTCCAACTTAATCTCATACTCGATCTGATATGRTGTCTGTAGTTATGGATATGTTACTTTTAGAAATGTTATAGGATAGAATGAGACAGCGAAGTGTACATTTTTTCGAGTAAAAGTTATCCAGACAGGAAACTATGACGTGAATTCACGTGGATGATAGCAAAGATTTTAAGTTGAAAGTTTTGGTGTATATTTGCAGGAGGTATATATGCAGGGTACTAGGGCTATTGGTCTACTCCTTATACTTCTGAGCGACTCTGTGCTATTTCAATAAATATTGCACAAATCCACCAAAAGTTTAACGCGATTTAGGGGCGATTTTTTTAAGAATTCAAATGACTTTTTACCCCTCCTCTCACCCCTCCYTCTTTGATAATTAACTTGAGCGTTGCATCCCCTCTTTCATGTCATAACTTTAGACTATCCTCCCCAACTCTTGGTAATCAACGCCCAACCTTGAGTATATCATTGCGTAGCCCCTCAAACACGTGTACACGCCCCTGGTGAAGTTAATTATTTATTTTGATTTGATCCGAGGATTTTAAGCAAGYGTACTTTGTCTCTCAATACTCCAATGCAAATTTTATACTGATCGGGGAATTTTGTAGCTTTTCCTGTCTGTCTCAAATCTATCTTTTCTGTCGTCTTCTCTTGGTTAATAATATTTGGACTACAATATTCCACAAAATAAATGTGTCGCTTGCTCCCTGCCCMTGATACAAAGTTGAGAGGATGGCTTCGCTAAGTATTTCCGGGAAATGGGAACTTTTTGTAGCKTGGATTCAACATTGACTGGAGAGGAGGGAACTAAAGCGGTAAGAAATCGACGTAACTCATTTTATTTTGAAGGAGATTGTAGTTTACATCTTACTTAATTATCATTTATACAAAAGACATCAAGTCGTACAATTTACTAAGCACAGAATTAACAGTCATGCTTAAACGAATGAACAAAATTTATTCATTGACGTCCAACGCCGTGGTTTCAAATATACTGTTGTACGATGCGCCAGACACTTCAGAAACGCTAGCTCAAACTATAATCACGAAGGAATAATAAAACGAAAGAGCAGGTGCACAAATATACAGCCACACCCAGTATTATACTTTCATTTTCGTAATCCAAGAATTTGAATATACTTGTATTTGAAAAGCAACTTGAAAATTGTAAATCATAACTCGATTTCCAAAAAACAGTTGAATTCGAAGAAAGCATACATCTTTTTGCGTTAAGGCGCAGATGTAAATCTTAAATGAAATGTTTTCCGTCGATTTTCTTGCAAGAACATGAATAGTTATAAATAATGCAACAGAAGGGATRTTCTGGAAAATAGGTAAATACTCCAAGAAAAAGTTTTCTCTAATCCATTATAGTTCTATTTGCTGAATAAAATGTAAGTAAAAGAAAGAAATTGAAACGTAACGTTTACTATGAACGTTACAAAGGAATTAAATTCGATAGCATAGAATCCCAAAAAATAGAGCAAAAAGTCAAAATTTGAAAACACTATATATAGCTCAAAAGTATACATACCGGCAAAAGTACCTTTTCACCACGTAGAATATTGCACTACTTCGAAAACCCGTCAAATATAACTGAAGCAGCTCACTTGAGAAGCATCAGTTTGAAATATTTTGACTACCAGTCGCATACGGAGATATTGGAAATTAAAGTCAATATGATAAAGTCAAACGCAGCCAATGAACACAGGAAACATGCTGTGATATAATATATAACACTGGAAAAAAGATTTCTGTCTGTACATTCCAAATTAGTATCTATTGTTCAGAAGTGGTTCTCGCAACCCTTGAAACATACTTATTTAAACTTACTACATATTACTCTTAGTTTTGTTTTTCGTTGTCTTGTAGGGGAATCACACAATTTGATTCTTACATTTTGTTTCACGGGCTTATGATAACCACCCTTTTTAAAAATCAAAAATGTACATTTTTCACAACTAAAGGTACATAGGGTCAAACGTTGAAGGTACATTTCTGTCTGTACATTCCAAATGCATAGATTCTGTATTTCATATTTTACAAAATAATAATTAAACAGTCCATTAAAACTGCCTCTGGATTGAGTCTCTGGCTTGAGATTACCAGTGAATGTTTTACTAAGAATTTAAATATTTCCCTCAGCTTATATACCAAGCAGAAGGAATACGAAGAGATTCAATCCAAAAAATCGAAGCTATTTGGATAATCGATGCAAAATAAAAACACCTTCATTTTTCTCCAAAGTTAATTTTCTCGAGATTGTAATAAAATTTTCAGAGTCATTTCTTAATTAGCATACTTTAGACTATCTCTATAAGAGCTAATGTCACTTCTGAATAATGACTTTTTTTTGCCAATTAAAATTGGCAGTTGGCTCAAGGGATCTAGAAGACTCCTTGTTTTGAGTATTGAGAAATTCTTATTCATGGACAATAACCTCGCTATTTGAGTCTTTTATTGCTAGTCTTATGAGCTTGTGATGAATAAACATGAGTTTATGGTCTGCTAAGCCAGTTATTTCCATATTTATACTAACAGTTATGACTAATCGCCATTTTGAATACACTAGTATTCAACAGTCATAGACCGTCTTAACAGCCAAACTCAAAAAAACCTAGGGTAGGCCCAAGTGCCAATTCATCGTACAATCCTCAATGCTAGCTGATGAGGCGTCATCGCCATATTAGGAAACTACCCTGTCCCCTTCACCCATGTAAGGAAACTAACCAGTCCCCTTCAATCCAATACAAATCCGTTTGTTTTGAGGGGTTTTCCGTGAGGATTAAAAATAGTCGCATAATAATATAAGATAACTTGATTTGTTGATAACTTTGCATACGAATAATAATGAATGGCGCTTTGGGGCGGATAGTTTGTAGCATGTTAGTACAACGTAAACCGATCGATTTTTATTGAGGTAAGGCAAATAACACTCTGTTCGCAGGGTGGACTCCGATGCGAGAGGGACGAAATACGAGCAAGCGTTTCTTGCATATCAGCAACTGTGCCGCTATTCGTCGCAGACAAACAAAGATATCTATTCCTTTTCAAAGCTCGTTTGCGAAATTTTCCCCGGACTGCAAAGTAAACGCATGAAGACTTCGTTAACAGAGCTTGGGTTGCCTGTTTTGCTTAGAAACGAGATCGAGCCTGCAAAATGACGACACAGCTTACATTGAGCTTTGGACGATTCAAAATGATCACGTGGTATAAAATGCATCGATCCCATTGGCAGAAAGGTGGGCAACGCCCACTTAGAGCCTACCCTGGGAGTTTTTATGTTTGACAGTTAAGTTAGGGAATCGCGTAGGATTGGTGAATACTAGTGAATTCAAGATGGCGGTTAGTCGTAACTGTTACTATAAATATGGAAAGAAATGGAGTCAGCAGAACATAAATTCACGTTTATTCATCACAAGCTTATTTAAGACTAGCAATAAAAGACTCAAGTAAGTAAATAGCGTGTTATTTTGTCCATGAACAAGAAATTCTCACCACTCAAAACAAGGAGTCTCCTTAAGCCCCTGGTTGGTCCTATATTTGGACTTGACACTAATTTCTGTAAGCTTTTGATGAGCGATTAGGAATCTGTATTTCTCGTGTTTATGAAGTAGCGAAGCACAAGAAAACACCAACTATCATGACCAGGATAACTTTTTTCAAGGTATTCGCAGAGCTCTTTGTTTGACCTGCAAGCAATAAGAACAAAAATATTAAAAACAAAGTGTTCATTTACTATTAATAACCCACATAGATCCAAAACAACCTTTGCGACTGCTTGTTTCTTTTGAATTAAAGCATCAAAACTATTTTTGAAAAGTTCCTTTCCGATCGGTTCTCAATCTATCTAGCAAGCAATTTCTATAATAATCCCTCTAAAAAATCTATATAAGCTGCACAAAGTACAAGATATGAAATTATTCTGTAAGATAACTACTCCAAGAGAAAGGGTTCAGTTGAAATGATTCTGTAAGGCACCTTCCTTTGAAATGAGCAAATGTGAAAATATATCGTATGAAACGATCATGCACCTACTCGCGAAAACGTTGTCATAAAAAATAGGACATTTGTATTTAGTAAAAAGGAATAAATTAAAAAACGAAAGAAGATCGTCGAGGCTGAACGCTTTCTTTTGCCTTGTACTAATTTGTTCCTTTCAACTAAATTCAAATGTTCTATTTTCTATGACAACGTTTCTTCAAGTAGGTGTATACCATAGTGCAATTGACATTGACACTACAGTTTATTTGCTGAGAGGCCCTAGCTATAGTACTACTGCAGGAGCCACTGCATCGTGTTCGTCAAATTACCTTTGGTCAATGTTATGGTGACATCTTTTGGAAGACTGCAATTTTCCTTTTTTCCTGAAAAATCTAAAGCACAACGAAAAAAACTCTTAAAACAAAACCAAACTCATTCCAAGTCTATCCACGCACAACCTATTGTAATTTGGATTGATTTAGTTTAGCTTTTTGTTTTGGTCTAGTTTCTTTGTTTTTACCTGTGGTGCAGTTGCAGGATATCGTAGTTCCTATGATGGTCAGATGAAGTGGTGGACAAGTATTGTAACCTGAAATATGATGCATAAAATTACGTAGTAAATTGTAATGTTATGATTCATAAGATGTGACAATCTTCTATCATTTTTACCAGAACATGGATCCCGTATCTTCATCACAGTGCCATTTCCAGCTGCAACAGATGAAAAAACTATTTGTCAAGGGTGAGTAAAGCTCAAGTATTAGGGATGTCAAAGGCATACCTGATGTAGAAAGTTTATCAGTAAAATTTGAGCTGTCGGGCCTGTCATGTGTCCTCGATAGGTAGATCACAACAGCAGAAGATATGTTTGAGCTGACCTAAAGACGAAGAAGTAGAATAATTAGGAGATGATGATGATGAACAAACAACAGCAGCAGCACYACTACTACTACAACAGCAAGAACACTAATAACAGCAGCAACAACAGCAACAGCATTGCTTAAGATCATTATTACAAAAAATTGATAACAATACGAATTCTTATTTGATAGATATATTTTATATTTTGTACATTAACTGATTTCTAACCTCAATAGCAACGTCTTCGGMTCCAAGAAGCTTCTCAGACGGTACTTTGAAGAAACATTTGACCTCTTTATATTGCGGAACTTCGGTCGGAAGACGAATAGGATCTGGGTACAAGAATGGTATGGGGTATAACACAGACAGTTAAGAAGTTTTAAATAGTTTTTGTTCGCATTACACTTTGCACATGCGACGTAAAATCAACTACCGCGCCATTGYCGTACTCTTAACTGCTTCAGTCGCAGCACATCCAACAATCTTTATGGAAATTTCCCGCATAAGAATATCGGCATGTTCCAATTTGATCCAATCAGAAAGCCACTTAAMTCATGAGATCATTAAAAAAATAAATAAAATAATCAAAAATGTCATCGGATGTACTTGAGTTCTTGAATTGAAATACCTTTCTGATTTACCTTTTTGYTTAACTTTTATTGTAACTTCATTAGGCACTGCGCACTCTGTCTCTGAAAAAAAARCAAGAAAAGTGTGTTCCATGGAGTGTGTTTACTGACTCAATGCATTTTTAAGTAATAAAGGACTGGTTGCACGAAGAGTTGAAGTAATCCGCACTCAATAGATATTGTATGGAAGTTATTCTCGCTCGATAAGAGTTTATCCGATGGATAGCGCTATTCACTGTTCGTACAACTGTCTCCAAAACATTYCCTCAATTTACCATTCAAACAATTGCATTTGACACCTGCTCCTTTAAGAGACATGTAGATTGGATGACAGTTACTTGGAGCTATTGTAATAGGAAAAAGTAAAATTGATTAACATTACATTCACTGATTCTCATTGACTTTGTCATTTCTTTGCTAAATCTATATTTACCTGCACAAGGGGTTTTGATCGATATCGCTTTTGTTTTTCCATCTTCTGATAAAAAGTCATTTGAATAATATGAAAATTAGCTGCGTGCCTTTTTTTTCAAAATCGACACGACAAAAGTGGTTTTAAAATAAAGATACCATGGGCAGGTGGTTAAATAATATTTTGGACATATTTTTAATATATRATATAGCGTTTTGCTCATATACTATTGTTATATAATTTTTTACATGTCCTTCACCTTTCGCCGCTAGCATTTTGTCGTAGGTGTTTTCATCTGGTTTCTGATGACTGCGAGAAGTGTACAATRTGATCGAGTCATTAGCTGCATGGATCTGTAAGAGGACAAAAAGCTTTGTTACCATCACACATTTGATTGGAATCTTTCTACTCCATCCACTTTTCTATCTAGTTCTACTTTGCACTCTGTTAACCTAAAAAACCCGTATAATATTTTATAAATTGCGTACGATTTTGAGCTCCATGCCATCTTATTGACACACTTCAACCCCCCCCACTCCCCCCACCTCCTTGGATCCACCTATCACAACACGGACACGGCACGGCACAGTCACGGAACCTCGCTTTCTAAGATTCCAAATAAAAATAAAGGTTTAACAATGCATCACCGCTACGGCACGGTACGATCACAGCGCGAAAGTACCTTGTTTTTTGCCAATCATACGATTTCCGCTCTATTCGTATCTTACATACCGATATTGATACTTCAGCTGCGTCAGTTAGGTGGTCTGAAGGCACTCTAAAGTGACAGACWGTGACTTTCGCTATTTGAGCTGGAAGACAAAGAACCAGAACTTATCAAGAGGGACATAATTTATACGATTGCAAACTGTATATCGATATATAGCCTAGAGTGCAGACACTAAGACTTTGAAAAAACTATGAGAAAAATTGAATGCTTAATTAATTGTACCAGATAGACCTTTCTCAAATTTAGAAATGAAAGAAAATTATAGTGCTTAGAAAGAGGCAGTTCCGGGAGAAAGACCCTTAGGAATRAATTCGGAAAAATTAATTTCCGACCTCGCTCGAATTTGCTTGGTTTGTAACAGGTATGTTTTCAAGTCGAGACTGAACTTGATTCTTTTGTATATAAAGGGCAGGCAGCCTCGAACTGAAAATGTTGTTTTGTGTTTATCCAGGCGAATTCGTAAAAAAATGTTATATTGTAAATGTAAAATCATTTTCCTGGGGACATGCAAGTGAAAGTGATAATCATATTTTATTATATAGATGATTTCTAACGCGCGCTCTCATTGGCCAAAAAGTGTGGTTTATGAGAGTATATACCAGTGTACCTGTTTTTATTGTGAATTTTATTTCACTAGGAAGTGAACAGTCGAGATCTGCAAATCAAAATAAAGAATAACTTTCAACGTTAAATAGATATAAATGAAACAGGATCAAAATGAGCTACTGATCGAATAGTTTTTTTTTTCAAAAAAATTCCAAAAGAAATATTCAACTCCAGAGTAAAAGATTAATAATATGGTTTTATCCTACGGTTAGTCAAGGGAACTTCTAAGATTTCTCTTTCATATGTATTTATCTTTAATAGCAGCGATGGAAAATAACACCATAATGTCACTCCAAAAGAGACTTAAATGGAGCAAGTTGAGTACGTTTTTTAAGTTGTCAAAGCCGTGTCAAAGTATTTCTTTGCCCTTCATTAGGTCTTCAACTATAAAATCATCAGTGCCCTTCTTTAAAAAACTTCTGCACCAGCCCTGAGGTGGTGTTCAAATTCTTACCGGAACAAGAATTTGTTGAGTTTTCTCCGTATACTGCGATATACAGTGGTGGACAGGTTGTCTTGTTATAACCTTAAACAGATCATTTCCATCTCAATCATGTGCAAAAGATACTGAGCTGAAAACCAGAAAATAGTCTCCTCCGTAATTCCCGTAATTGCCATATATTATTATGAGCAATAACTGTTTTGGTACAAGGAGCATACCTTTGCATACATTGAAGAATTCTATACGTTTGCCTAAGATAGGATGCAAAATAGTTCAATTAATTTCATGTTATTGTATTTTTTATGTAGGATTGTAAAAAGCAAAAAAAAGACTATTTCATTCTTTTACTAATATAATCAAACCAGCAAAAAATAATCAAGGGAGAGGGAAGGTCGTTCCTTAATATTTAGGGATTTGCGATTGTCTTATGCAAGGTCATCTTAAAGATCTGCTTCATGCCAGCCTATGTCGTGCATCGGGTTTGGAATTAAATGCAGTTACCCCTTCCAATTACTGACATGCAGGTCGAACCTACGTTGAAGACATTGATTGTTCCCCTTTCCAACTGCTAAGTAACTATATAAAGATTGGTTATTATATAGGTCTCCCATGTGTCTGCAAGTCTAAAAGCTTTGGGATTTGTCTTGAAGAATTGCATTTGGAACATGATAGCGTCTGCTGGTATTAAGAAAAGCTCTGGACATAATAAAAATTATGCTGTGTGGAGTGTGGCGTAACAACAGATTGCTAGTTAACCATTGATAATGTTTCTAAAAAGTCAAAGAATTAGGTGGGTAAAAGAGACGTTGTGACTTCACATCAGCATCGGATAGGGTCCAGAAATGTCAGTACCATATGGATAATCACCTTTTCCAGTATCTGTACTTCTTCTCTGCCTCAATACAGTAYTATCCACTACAATATATCATAAACAAAATAAAAATAAATATCATTAAGCCTTTTTATCCGTAAMCATGCTGTATAAAGTTAACTGTTTATTTTCATAAAACCGTTGCATTGCGACTTCGAAGTTTTGAAGTTAGGATGAGGGGTTTTGCTGCGAAGTGTGGCAAAATTTCAACCAATCAATCAGCTTCATAGATTTTAATGCAAAATTTTAATTAAATTGTCTGAATTTTATATTTTTCGTTGAAAAGTCACAGAAAAATCCAAAATCCGTCAAGGAGGAATGACAAAGTTCTTGCTCGCAATGCAAGGAGTTTTTTTGCTGTAAACATATTTGTTCCTTAGTGCATGCGAACAGTGAAAAAAGTTAGAACGTAGCACTACATAATGATGCAMGTCCTTTTAAGGACTTAAAAAAATGAAAAATGAATCCTTATCTCCTTGAACTTTTTTTGATGTAACTGAAAAATTCCTTGTCATTTGAGAAGAGCATATTACAATAAACAAT